GCATGTAACATCAGTCATCCGTAGATGAGTCAGCAAGGGAGAGTCTAGTCCTAGCCTAGTCAGCAGTCCCAGTCTAAAGTCCCTGTCCACCTTGTCTAGTCAGCAAGTACCAGGTGGGGCTGCGCATTCCTTGGGCCTGGGACCAGAGAGAGGCCAGACCAGTGACCACCGACGAAACGGTATAAATAAAGAGGCAGCACCAAGACATTCATTCATTCGCCTGTGACCCATGCAGAAGCGCTGCTTATGCGACTTGTGCATCAGAGGTCTGCAGGAGCCCGACAACGAAGTGGGCTAGTGGAAGAAGACAGCGGCCATAGCCGCTAATGTGACGAGTTGACTTAAGCTGAGTTCCTGGCAGTCGGCCATATTTACGAGTTTTCTGTGTGGGCGCAGTGCGCCATTGCAAGTTTGCTTCCGATTCTGAGTTGACGAAGTTGTGCTGCCATCGGTACTTACATGTATGCATGTTGCGAGTAAAATTGAGACAAGTCTGATTCCACTGGTATCAGAGCTGGTTCCCATTGACTGCGTCATCGAACTGATCGCCGCGAAGAGGAAGGATACCGCGGCACGAAGAAGAAGAGAGAGAGAGAGAGAGGGACGCCTGCAAAGAGGAAGAAGATAGTCCGCCATAGCGGACGGCGGCCATAGCCGCCAAGCTCGGAGGAAGAAGAAGACCAGTGGGACGAAGTAGTGGACGAGAGAGAGAAAGGAATCAAGAGAGGTGACGAAGGTGAAGAGGAAGAGGAAGTCGGCCATAGCCGAGCTCGAGGACGAGGAAGAAGAGGTTGACGAAGGAGAAGAAGCCTCCATAGCCGGACATCAGAGAGTTGACCGGCGAGAATTGACCGGACGTTGACTGGTGTTGACCAGAGGTTGACCGACATTGACCAGCAGCACTGACCGGTGCCGTTGACCAAGCTGGAGTGCGGAGCGAGAAGCTGTATAATCCCTCCAAGCCTTAGCCCTTGTCCCTCATATCCAGTGGATGTTGCACACTCACCTTGGTACTTCCTAGAGAGTCTGTCTTCTCTTTCTGCGTTGAGTCAGTCCGGTCCAGGTGAATAGGTTCCATGCATGTCAAAATGGCGGTCCCGGAGGAGGAGGAACCGCGCACACGCCGTGAACGGGTCAAAGTACGTTTCCCAGAACCCTACAGTGGGAAGAAGGGGG